TCGTTTATATGGTGTGTGCACACCCAGGTGTGGGATCCGGGTGTGCACACATCATTATCCATAAAATTTACATATAAGCATGGTTAATATATGAGTATAGTACATATAAGTTCCAACAACCAAAAAATCAATTTAGAGTCTCAATTTACATTTGGAAACTAAAATCTCAATTCAAAATTCAGAAATCTACTTTATTAAATATTGATGCCTAGATTTTGAGACTAATTATATCTAGATATTAACATTAAATACAGTAGATTTCTAAATTTTGAATTGAATTTTAATTAAATAAAATAATATTGTTTAACATGGGCCTCTAATTAATTTTGAGAGTCAAGGCTGATGTATACTTTTCCCTATATATATAGTTCATATCAATCTTGACTCCCAACAAAAATTAGAGTTTCAACCTTAAATAATGTTATTTCATCTAATTTAAACTCAATTTAAAATTCAAAAATCTGTCTTATTAAACGTTGACATATGAATTTGAAAACCAGTTATATTAAAATATATAATCAGTTTCTAACTATAAATATCAATACTTAATAAAATAGATTTCTAAATATTGATTTAGATTTTAATTAAATGAAGTGACATCATTTAAGGTGGAACTGTTTGTTTTTTTTTTTTTTTGGGAGTTGGGACTAATATGTTTTTTTTTTCTATATATAGAGTGCATATGAGTCCCAACACCCATAAAAAATTAGAATCCCAACTATCCATGATGTCATTCATTTAACTAAAACCTAATTCAAAATTTAGAAATCTCCCTTATTAAATATTGATTGATACATTCGGAAACTAAGGCCCCGTTTGGTATAACAGTTTTGGGGTAGCGCTTAGCAGTTTTACCTAAACCGCTAAATATAAGTGTTTAGTAAATTTATATATTTCGAAACCGCTACAACTAAAGTGTTTGGTAAAATTTTTATTTAGCAGTTTGAGACTAGTAGATAGCGGTTAGGGTCTAAATCGCTAGCGAATTGAAAAAGTTAGTTTATGTAGCTTTTGGTACCAAACCATTAACGGATTAAAATTTTTTATTTTATTGACAAATTTATCTATTTTAATTTTTTAGTTTGTGGTCACATTTTTTAATTGATAATTATCTAATAAATTTCAATTTTGTTTTTTCACCTTTAATAATATTAAGTGATTATAATATTTTTTTGTACATTAATTTATAATTAAAAAATATATTATCTTAAAAAA